GTTTGGAATTTTAGTGCAGTATTTTTGTTTCTACCAAGTTAAGGGTTAAAGTACGAATTTGGGCGTCGACTCGTATTCCGTGTGCAGTTGTTGTTCCATCCGATTTCGCGTGTATAAATTTAAATACGAAAAGCACACGAACTCGTAGATTTTCAGCGTATACAATCGATTACATATAAAAATAATTTTAAAAAGATTTAATAATATGTACGATGAACCTTTAGGTTAGGTTACTTACTATAGAAAGAATATTAAAATTATTATAAACATTTATTTTATTAAACCTTCCAGAGGGCACTCTTTTGAAAATAGTACTAAGTACAATTTTATACTTGTGGATTTGTTTTCCTAGCTTTATTTCCTTTATTCTTTTGTTGAAATTTTAATTTTAATTTCATCACATACGTTATACATATGATAAAATATAGAGTGAAAGAAGTACGATATTTCATATTTAAAGTTTGTCAGAAGATGTGGCTTGTAGAACAGATACCTAGAAGTTGGAAGGAGGCCGTAATCACACCTTTACATAAGAAGGGTGATAAAACAAATTGTTCTAATTATAGAGGTATATCCCTGTTAAATACGGTATACAAAGTTTTTTCTAATGTGTTACTGAGTCGATTAACACCATAAGCAGAAGAGTGCCTAGGAGAGTATCAATGTGGGTTTTGCAAAAGAAAGTCGACAGTGGAACAGTTTTCTATAATTGGACAAATTTATTGAGAAAAAATATGAATTTCGTCAGATTCTAAAGCACTGTCTGAGAAGACAAAATTAAGGTTATATACAGCAATAATAAGGCTTACTCTCATTTATGGTTGTGAAGTATGGAAAACAAAAGTGTGATGAAAAGAAGACTTAGAACCTTCGAATACAAAATATGGAGAATGATATGTGGACGAGTTCGTGACGCAAGAACAAATGAGTGGAGAAGAAAGTTCAATAAGGAACTACAGGAAGAACTGAGCTTAGCACCAGTCATTAGCTACATAAAAGGACAAATATTACAGTGGTTTGGACATATCATGAAAAAAAGCGAAGAAAAAACCATCAGGGCAGTGATAGAATGGAAACCAGAAAGGAAGAAACCTCGAGGCAGACCAAGGAAGAGATGGTTTGACGTATACTATAGTAGAAGAAGATCTTAAAGCCGTGGGAGTACAAGAATGGTAAGAAATTATTCAAGATCGAGAGAAATTAAGAGATTTAGTGTTGGTGGCAAAAACTCTAATAGATTTATAAATGCCAGTGAAGAAGAAAAAGACGACATACGTTATACAAGTTTAGTAATATACTATTGTAGATTCTCACTAAGTGCAACACGTACGTTATTTTTTTATTTATTCATTTTTTTGATAAAAAAGCATTCAATTTTGCTTATATTTAGACATTTTTAAAATTTAATTTTTAAGCTATAGGTACGTATACATTCGTATGTATAGACATTTAATGATGTTCAATACCAGATAACAATATTATTATATCGATAAAGTAGAGTATTGACTATAGATATAGAGTACAGACGATTAACTTTAAAATTGTATGATGTAATGTCTGAAATATTACCTATTATAGATAAGGTAGAATTATGCCGCTATCACTATGTGTTTTTACATGTCCGGTCCGCATAGAAGGCAGAAGCAACGTAGTTACGTTTTTAAACGTTTTTGAACTTAACTGTAGTGTGATCATTGAACCTCAAGTTGAAAAAATGTTTAGTGAAAAAAAACAAAACACTTGTTGTAATTTATGATTTTAAATTTTATTTTCAAAATTTATTGTGCAATGATATTGAAAGGTAGTTTAATGTTGCCGGGGTTGACCAATTAAATATATGATATTCAGGGAAGGTTTTCTAGTCTTTGTGAATATATTATACCATAGCTTGGGAGCATAAATGGAAAGATCTTAATATTAAAAATAAATGTAAATTGATTTATTTTAATTGTTATTATTTAATATACATATATAAATATGACTTACGGACTATGGACTACATCAAGATAATATGGAGTTCAGCTACAGTGAGCTTGTTGTATACGTTTGTGTACGGCTTACATAAAATTAGAGGGAAAATGGATTGATAAAATACAGCATCCCAGGATATTAAAAATAAATAATAAAAAAAATTGCTAAAATCGAACCGGCATGCAATTCGAACATACATCTCTGAGACGTGGCATGAAATTCAAACAGACTCTTGTAAGACGTAGCATGCAATTCGGACAGAACCCTCTAAGACCTGGCATGCAATTTGGATGCATTTTGAACTTTAGACCTGGTATTCTTGGTTCCTTAGTAGTGTGAAGAGATTGCTAGAGTGATTAAGCCTATGCGCATCAAAACGCTAAATCCGCCACTGAATAGGATACTACTATCGACTAATTCTGTAGGAATCAATTACTTCCGCCCACCACTAATAACACGATACGGTAACGATGATATGAAATCGAAATGTTACGACTTTTCGGTTTTGCATATCTGCACGCAGCAGCAGATGCACTCATGTATGCACTTAAACCAGGGGCGTCATTTCAACTTTTGAAAGGGTGGGGCAACTGATTAAATTTATCGACTTCATAATATTTAAAAAATTATGGTTACCTATATACTTAAATATTTAATATTTATGGACCATAGACTATCAATTGAATATTTTTTTGGAACAAAACATATAAGGATTATGAATAATGATATCATGATGTTAAACAAAGAACATGAAACAATTTAACCAATTAAATAATAACATTAAAGATAATAAAACATTAATTTATTCACTTATCCTATGGGCCAGAGGTTCCCAAATTGTGAGGCGCCCCTCCCAAGGGAAGCGCGAGCCGCGTGGTAAATATTGATATTTTTAAATCAACAATAATATCGTTGTAATTTCATAACTATTCACAACAAATATTTCACTATTATGTTGTGTATGCGAGAAAAGAAGTGAAAAAAAAATACGATCGTCGCAATACAGTTTTCGACGACGGAAGACGTGTAGCATCGTTATTATATTTTCCGCGCTCCCCGTTCGATTCACGAATTCGACTCACGGTCACAAACGGATTTCCAATTAAAATTATTTAAAAATAACGCGCAAAATTCCTCGTAATGCATTCATTGACTCTTTAAATAATATACATTTGATATAATACGTTGTACACAAACGTGTATATCGCATAAATGTCGCGATGTTATGAAATACGAAACATGTAACAATAGTGTATATACTAAACGACAATATGAATAATTACGGCCGTCTGTACCACGGAAAAATCCTAATTCTTTAGATTTCAAATGTCGAAAAACACGTATGAATACAAACATTCCTCGGTTGAACATAACGCCAGTCACAAATGCACAACTACACTTCATTTCTTCATGGAATATTTTAATTTGAAAATAATTATCAAAACAAAACATTTATGAACACATTATTAATTTTTAAAATACGTGGTTTCAAAACAAACTAGTTTTATTTTTTCTACCGAATTAAAAGCCAATAATTTTGCGTAGAATTCAAATTGCGATGGATGTGTATCTTTTACATTTAACTGTCATATGAAATTTGAAAGACCCAGAATACAATTTAGGTGCAGAACCTTGATATAACTGGAAATTCTGGACAACTTGAGTCAAATACAGGGTCAAATACAACAGAAAATACAATACAGAGTCAATACAGGTCAAATACATATTGTATAAATACACAATGTATATTTATTTTTTTGTAGTGATATTACTTTCTTCTTCTTCATTCTTCGCCTTTCTCCCAAATATTTGGATTCGGCCACCCTTGTTCTTAAACTCCAGTAGTCTCGATTTTCTAAATTTCTTACGAATACACCAAAAACCCTCATATCATTTTCAATCGTATTCAACCATCTTATTTTTGGTCTTCATTTTTCTTTATTCCCATCAACATTTATTTTCATAAGCACTCTTACTAATCTTCTTTCCTCTCGCTACATCACATGCTCAGACCATTTTGGTCTATTTTCTCTCATTTTGTCCACTATCGATGTTACACTAATATTACTTCTCACATATTCGTTTCTTATTTTATCTTCTCTTGTCACTCCACTCATCCATCTAAGTATTCTCATTTACGTAACACTTATACTCTGTTCTATTCACCTATTGGTCTTGTTAAATACAAAGTCCGGAATTGTATATTTCACATTTTGTACAGTGATTTTTGTACACATTGCGAATTGTACAGTGTTGCTGTACAAAGTAACTAGATTGTACAAGTGCATTATACAATTCGCGATGTGTACAATAATCACTGTACAAATTGTGAAATGTATACAATCATTGTACAAATCACAAAATTTAAAAACATGTTATATAAATTACCACTTTTTCGTATAAAAAAAATATTATTATAAGACTACAATTACTAAAATCAAATACAATTATTAATTAAATATACTTAATCATTATTTATTCTTACAATCAAGTGAGTTATGACAGCGTGAGATGCATATTACATTTTTTTTTTTTTACATATACATTTATTATTATAGTATTTACGTGTACAAAAACATTTAAAAAAAACCTTGCCCTTCAATCATTGATTCTTTTGAATTTGCAGCTCTTAGAGACATTTTATCAGTAGGTATATCATTTAAATTTAATATATTTACCCCATCACAATATGAAAATTGGTTACGACTAAATAGTTATGCAATAATGTCATTTTTAGTACCAATTTTATACAAGTCGTCCGTCGTTACTTCCATTATAACACCTAATAAATGAAAGTACATCACTTACTAATATGATTATTTATAAACATAAAATAATGTATTACCTATGATATTTTTCGAATCTCCTATACTTCTATCTACATTTGGTACACCTAACGTTACATTTGTACCGATTGAAACGACTGGATACTTCAAGATACTATCAGTTTTCATTCGTTTTGCTTGGTTATGTAATGAACTTACAGCTAGCTTTTTATTTTTATTTATTTTACCTTGCACAATTATAATTTATTCTAATACCGATTCACTTGCAATTGAGGCCTGCTCTAAAATATTATTTTTACTTGCAGTTGAGACCTGCTCTAAAATATTATCTTCATTTATTTCTGTTTCGGTTAATTCATAATTAATTAGCTCTAATGAAAGAATTGCTTGCTCTAAATCATTCTCAGAATTTAATGTTTTGAGTATATTCTCAGGTAGGGCACTTAAAGTGAGGCCAAGTTGTACTTTTCTGCCGAATAATACCTCAAATGGTGATTGTTTAATACCAGAATGATAGCTATTATTTTTTTGAAACTGGCAAAATCGAAGACCTTCACTCCATTTATTGGATTTATTGTCCGACATCCATGCCCATAAAATATCTTACACATCCCTGTTTGCCCTTTCAACACTTCCTTGACTCCGAGAGTGGCGAGGTTTCCCATGTACAATCTTAAGTTGTGGCCACATATTTTTTAATTCATCAATTATACAATTAACGAATTCACGGCCGTTGTCTGACTGAAGAATTGAAGGTGCTCCAAAAGTACAAAATACATAAATTAAATAATATGTTACTTCAGCTGCAGTTTTTGTTTTTAGTGCACGCAACGTTACAAATTTTGATAAATGGTCCTGGTAATTTAATATAAATTTGTACCCACCATCATGGCATGACTGCATATCAATTAAATCGATCTGTCCACGTGCATTGACTTCATTAAATATCATAGGTTTAACAACTACTCCTCTTTTTTTTGAAACTCTTTTTTTTAAACACGTTACACAATTGTTTAAATATATTTGAATAATAGGACGTGATATATTAACGTAACCATTTTTTAAATGATAAATCATTTTATGGAGTCCACCATGCCCTGTTTCTTTATGTGACTTTTCAAGAACATCATATATTTCATTATTATGTAAATAGTATTTAACTTCATTATTTTTTGATCTATGTAATGGAAAATCAATTTATTAACTTCAACTACTTTTATAATATCGTAGCGATTCAAACGTCTGTAATCTAATGAAGTCTTATTTTTCCGATGTTTAGCTTCAAGAACTCCATTTATTATTTTTTCGTAATTTTCTTCATTAGCTATGGCCATTGAATTTACACTAAAATTAATTTTTTTAATCTTTTCGTCAAACAAATTTTTAAAATTAATATTATTTTTAATGACACTCATTTTGCCCAATTGTTATATATATTGTACATACACACTAATATAAGTTGAAATATTGCAGCAGTTCCGAACAAAATGCACGTAGTACGTACTAAAATCTGTGAAAATTATATTTCTGAACGACAAAGACAGTATCGTAAAGTCGTTGAAATAAACTTTATCATTTTTATTGCATAATACCTTTCCTAATATGTTAGATTCCATATAACGTGGGAAACACAACTCATTAAGACTACGCAAGATAACATTATAAATCAATGATATTATGGTATACACAAATATATTTATCGTCTACACGAATTCTTTTCGTACTGAAATTGGTTTGAGTTCTTTTTTTTGTTTTTCGAATCGGTTAAATATACGGAAACGCATACCACTACGGTTAGGTGCCAATCTGTACTACTGCTGCCCGCGTTGCGAACTTAAAAGGCAAACCCGTTTTGTTAAGTATCCATATTTTGTTCAGTTTAGAGGACATACAATCCACTTTAATGTTACTTACAATGTTGTTCACATTTCCTTTTGCCCACATTAACATTTGAAGTTAAATTATATTATTATTACTTATCCATTTGCATGGCACTGGTGGACCTAAAACCAGTTGGACTAATGTGTGAACGTGTGCTCGTGTGGGCGTATAAGCGTGTTAATTTGTCTGTATTGTGATAATAAAGCGAACAAAAAATATTTATAATTATAAAATATGTGAATATTTTTCCCCATATGTTGTACCATTTAGTATGTAGGTATAGTTGCAACCGTCATAAATCTAAACATAAGATACTTAATATTATAAGAACTCAATAGTCAAAAGAACAAACGCTATATATTTAGTGATAATTGATACTTTTTTTCTTGAGATCTAATTAATATGGGTGGGGATTTTCCTAAAACGTGCAAAAAATTTTGGCGGCATAAAAAATTTGACACAGTACTGTCTCTTAAATTTTAAACACTACATATTTTTCTATTGACAGTGTTGAATACTCAAGTATGCACTTTATGAGTTACATTGTTCACTAAAAAACACCCATTTTACTTTTATACAAATTTCAATCAAACACAATACTAATACAGTTACACTTAATGGGTTCTAAATCCATAAAAACATTAACAAAAACTTTTAAAATTTGTTAAATTTGTTTAGGATTTTAAATCAAAATCATCAAATTATTTTTTACATGCATAGCATAGTTTATATCTATATTTAATTCTACTATGAAATAAGAAGATTAAGATTTAGGTTAATCTAATTCATTTGAACAGCAGTAGATAAAGTTTTTAATTTCTTTTCATAACAGTGATAGATTTTTCAGGAGTTTAAACTAGCCTGATCATTTCAATAAAAATATTCAATATATATATTGTTATTTTATATTTATAATATAACATACAACCATTGATGTAACACATACACATATGAAGTTTATTATCTAACTAAAATATTTAGTTTTTTAAAAATTTAATTTTTCTATTAATATTTACATAAATGAGCTGTTATATCTAGATAATTATTTTTATAGTCACAATTAACCTAACTAGTCAGGAAGAAAGATCAGGTTCTTTCTTACGGTGCAATCAAGCCACCCAAAAAGCAGAATCGCCAAATGCCAGATTCAAAGCAACAACCATATGTTAAGACCAGGGCAGTGATTAAATATTTAATCAATGACCAGAACATAAAACCGTTAACCGGTTTGTAACGAAAACCGGTAAAAAACAGTAAATTTGAGAACCGAAAACCGATAACCAATTTTAGTTTTGGAATGCTGGAAGCGGTTATTGGTTATCGGTAATCAAGATAAATATCTAAATATTAACATCAAAGCGATTACCTCGTATTTTCAACCCCGGTTTTATAACCAAAACCTATCCTCGACCAAAATAATTAACGGTTTTTTCGTGGTATTAATACTTGAATTATGTCATGATTAAATTATACTATTATGGTATTATAATATTATACTATTATACTTATGGTTGATTTTAATTTTCCAGCTATTTTTTAAATATTTCCCACAATTAATGGCCGTCGAGTATTGCTTATCTGTTTTGAATACCTATTATATATATAAATATTGAAATTAAGTGAAATCGACCAATTAGTCAAGCATATTAATTTTTTGATTTTGTAATAATAAAAGTTTTATGATCAACCCACGAATCGCCTAAATAAACTGTTTTAGGGTGCGATTCCTTAGGATGCGTCTGCAGACGCGCGGCCCCACGCGGTTGCCGCAGTGCGGCTGAGATTTTGGACGCACCGATACTACCTTACTTGTTTTTAAATAGAAACGGATTTCCCAGACCACCGCAGACGCGCGCGACAGTCGCATCCGCCAATAGATGCGTTGCGATGACCGATTTGAAGGTAGTCAGATCGCACGAGACGCGCGTCCAGCATATGCAAATATATTATTATTTAATTAATAATTATAATTATTTTCTAGTTTGAAACATATCATGGACATTTTGGTTTTTTTTAAACATAAATTCGATAAGTAATTTTTCGTCATCTATTTTTTCTAAAAGAAGAAGTTTAATAAATGTCTTCTTTTTCTGCAGATAAGTGACGTGATATCTACTTCCTACACTGTACTGTATATAATGTTTTAGATATTCACTATACATAATAAAATGAATATTTAACAATACACTGTTGACGGTTGAAACGTAGAAAAACAACTGAAGGGCTCTAATAAATAATATTTTATTTTGTATGAAAAATATGAGCAGTGCGTCTTTTACGTTTGCGTTTTAAGAAATCCGTGATCGGCCGCGAGTCTACAGACGCGTCCTAAGGAATCGCACCTTTAAAAATATGATTTTTAAAAACCGGTTTTAACCGGTAACCGATTACCAAAAAACCTTATCATCGACTTTCAAACGATTAACGGTTATTACAGTTCTTGAAATATCCTTAAAAAAATGGTTACCGGTTACCACAGTATCAAAATTAAACGATAACCGGTTCCCGGTTTAAAAAAATTTTCGGCTTCTCAATTACTAACTTTATTAGCAACGGTTTTAAGCCCTGGTTAGGACATTACCACCATATCTCATTTGGCCAACACATCCCGACCATTTTTATTTCTTATTTTAGTTTTTTTTTTTTTTTTTTTTTAATTAAGAATTTGTTAATGAAAATACACCCTTGGAAATTAATTTGAATTCACTTCTGCTATGGAAAATATACTCTAGTAATTCCCACCTAATATTATAACATTTTATTTTCAGATCTTATAACACTTATGAATTTATCAAATCTAAAGTTGAATTGTATAATTACATTTTATTTTCAATAAATTAATATTTCAAAAGTTTAAATATTGTAGTATAATTAACATTATTATTCATCATAGGTATATAAGTAAATAATAATACAAATAAAATTTAAAGGAAATTCGGATGTTATGTTTTAGTCCAACTGTTAACATAAAATACATTATTTTATAATGTAATTTTATATAAATAATTATGGGGCGATCAGTCTTGCTTGTTTATGATTCTTTTTGAACCAATCAACAGTATCAGCTATTGCTATTTCTAAGTTAGTAAATTTAAAATTTGGTAAAAGTTTTCTTAGTTTGTCATTACTCGCAGTTTTCTTTATTTGTCCATCTGCAGCACTTGTATCAAATTCTAGAATTCCTTGGAAATTAAATGACTTGGCTATCATTTCAGCTAGTTGAGAAATTGTTACTTCATCTTTCTCATCCACTAAATATAATCAAGTAAATATTAAGAATTGTACACAATTATAAGATTTTAAATTTCTTCATTTACCTGATAAAATAATTGGTTCTATGTCATTGTAATTTCTTAAAGTCCAAATGAATAATCTGGCTAAATCCAATGAATAAATAAATTGCCGCAAAGGTTTTCCTGAACCAAGTACTACAAACTTATCATCTCCTAAAAATATTTGAAATAACAATTAAATATTTACATTTAACAAAGTACACTTTTATTTTGAAGTATATATCATGTTTTATTTCTTATAAAAAATGTATTAAATATATTAAAATTTATAATTAATTCAGAATTATTATGAAAAAAAAAAAAAAAATAGGATTTAAAAATAACTCAATACATTTAAAGAAGCAAAAGTTATATTTTCGGTATTCATAGGACTTTGTATTTGATATTTTTGCTTAAATTAAAATAATTACACTTCTTGATATAAATATTAATATATTACAAAATGTTATTATACTTAAAGTAAAAAGATTTTTTTATAGTTTAAAAACTAACCTTTTTCTATAGCTATGTGAAGTCGATGAATAAGAGCAGGTACTACATGAGCATTTTGTAAATCAAAATTGTCATAAGGTCCAAATACATTACATGGCACAACTGAAGTAAATATTACTCCATATTTTTGATGATAAGCTCTGTTGGCAATATCCAACAATCGCTTGGCATAACTATAACCAAAATTAGATGAATGAGGAGGTCCGTTATGTATCTAAAATAAATAATACAAAATAAAAATATTAAATCAATAAATATTATAGAAGTATTAATATATATTTTAAGTAAAACATTTTACAAATTAATAAATTCCACAATGTGAGCATACCAAGTTCTTGGTTTTTAAGAGTATCTTAAACAATGAACTATAATTCCACATACAGTTTTAAAATAAATTGGTAATTTGTAAATGAATTTTTATAAGAACCTAAATAGGTCAAATACCTAAATTTTTGAATAAAGTAATTATACTATAGTACCGATTTTTAATATTGACTAGTAGGGATCTACATTAAATACTTATATTTTTATAATTTTTAATAGATGTTGGTAAAAACATAATTAAACATCTTAATATCAAAAATCATAGCGATATACTGGTAACCAATAAACAAACTCGATATTTCAAAGATATAACTTATTCTTACATATGTTTAGAAACTTAAAACAAAACCATTTGAACAAATTAATCTTTTATGAATTTAAATTTTAAAAACTTATGTAAACATTAAACTTATTATATATTACTTGAATAAAAAAAAAAAAAACAATAAATTATTATGTACAGAATGATTAAAAGATAATACCTTTAGTTGAATGAATAAAATAATAAAATGTGTTATTACATTTAAGTACAATGTAATATTTGATTTAGTTTGCTAATTAATATTTTTTAATATTTTAATTTAAATTTAATATATAAACATTTTTGTTAATTTACCAAATTGAAATGATTTGAACTAAGAAACAAACAAATAAAGAATAAACCATAATTGTATCAATATAATAATATTACCATTGTTTCATCAATAGGATATGGAGTTTTGTCTGGAAATATACATGTAGAAAGACACGATACTACTTTCTTGACATTGAACTGATAACTAGTTTCTAATACATTATCGTTTATGTGTATATTTTTGCGCTAGAATCAAAAACAAAATATTTTTTAAGTAAAATAATGAAAACTTATTTTAATTGTGTATTAATAGTAAAAATGTAAATCAACATTTATAATTCATGATACCATATACAGTTTATAACCAACTTAAAGATTATTAAAACTTGGCAAAAAAAAATATTATTTAAATAAACCAATATCTTTACAAGGTACTCTTACAATATAAGTTAATTTAACCCTTCGTTAGATGTGAGGTATATTGTTACTTATATAGGCGTGTGGTCTACACTTGTAGACCATTTTAATTTATGACATATTAAATTAATTTTAATTATTTTTGGTTATGTTAAAAATGTAAAGTATTTATATGCATACAAAGAATCACAAGAGCATTAAAATACCAAAAATAATCCATAAATATTTGAAGAAAATACAATTATCTTGTTAGTAGTGAAATTATAATAATTTCTTTCATGGTATTTTTATTTTTAAAACTAGTTACTTAATTACCTTCCAATCGACCTGAAACTATAAATATCTGAAATTGACATGTTTACAAAAGACCCCTAACAAAATTAAAATATATTTTTATATTTTTTTACCAGTTATCATTGAATAATTATAGGTATTATAACTGTAATTTCTTTATAGAAAATGATAGTGTATATGAGTTTTGGTACTTATTTTTCCTGATAATCATTTTCTCTTGTAAACTCAATTCTATAATATTGATATGAAGTATAATTAACGGATTTTATAGTTTATATGAAACAACACGTCATGACCCAGTAGGTATATTAATAATAATAACATATTATACAACTGTACCCAATAAAAAAAAAATTTGAATTTTGCAATTTTATAAAAAAAAAATATAACATAGTAAGTCGCGTGGCCCACAGTTGTAAGCCACTCGGAATATTGTTGTTATGTTTCGTTACACAACATTCGTTAATGGTCACGATGATACTGACCACAACAGCTACTATAAAATACAAGGCACTACAATTTTTTTATAAATATTAAAATTGTTAATATTTATAGCTGGTCTACAATTGTAGACCATGCACTTAACGAAGGGTTAATATCTATTAAAAGTGAATTACTTCCAAAATATGTTACCAATAAATTTAAACAATATTATTCTTATACACTTATACATTTGATAGTGTACTTAATATTTGAACATAATGTGATTTTATGCTCCTCGAACTGAAAATATTATACAAGAGTGGATTGCAATAAACAAGATAAATAATACATATGAGAATACATCTTGCTTGGACAACTATTGATTGATAACAATCGATAATTAATTACTTCAATTATGTTTGAAATAAACAAATATTACTATAGCTAACTCGATGATTGTATTCAATAATTAAAATAATAAACTAACTTATAAAATGTAATAGATAATGAAATAATTGCATAACTCTGTTGATACTTACAATTTAAAATTGATTACATTTACTTATTTCATGTTAAATCTTATTCAATAACTTATGAAATATATGTATTTTATTATTCACATTTTGCTCCTTTTGCTTATTCTAAAATTGAATATACTATAATAATGTAAGCTCAAGTTCATAGTAAATGAAAGGAAATTTTATAATATTTAAGAAATTTAAAGTTTCCATTCCAAAACATTTCTAATTGCTTAAATTAATTCAGCAAATGAATCAAATGGTATATTTAAATTAATTAAAACTCAACTGCAATGTTTTCTAGACATCATTTTTTGTTATTACTTAAAATTTAATATACCTTATTAATTATGTTAAAATAAAATGGTATAGTTAAAGAAGTAATTCTTGCGAATTAAAAATAATATTATTATCCTATAAATATTTCTAGACATAGGTTTATTACCAAAAAATCCAAATTGTTATTCATGTTATGAAAAAGTCCACCAACCATAGCTGCCAAATGTATAACATGAGTTGGTTTGTATTTTTCGAATAAATTTTTAGTCGCTTGCAAATCGCTGAAAAATATAAAAAAAAAAATATAAAAAAAAATGAACACCAATAATTATCGGTCTATAGATACTTGAGATCTGCTTCTTTAGAATTAGTAAATATCCATTGTTCATCGGGTAGCGCTTCTTTTTGGGTCTCAACAATAGTTCTAATAGCACTACCTACTAGCCCAGATCCGCCAGTGACTAAAATTACTTTAGCCATCTTCAAATTCAGAACGGTAATGAACAAGGCTACTTCGAATCAAAAAGTCGTGCAAAATCTGTGTAATAGACCTGGGGCAGTCACAAGTTATTATACAGGTATAACTTACCTGTGAAGCGTGAACTGACAGAAAATTCGTTGTCGATGGTGGCACTTATAGTATTACAAGTGATTCTTCAAGCACTATAGATGAAAAATGTACGTTTCAAACTTTAGAGCGTTCCCGAAAATCGTAAGCTACCATAAGGCACTATAAAAGCTATAGTGCCCTAGCTATCGTGGCATTCAAATGGTGGGCTGTTTGAGATTTGATTGCGGATAACTGTGGGAAATTGATAACGTTTATCGACTGACAGCTGCCCTTATCACATTCGTTTTCAGTGTGCACCACAGAATAAGTGAAATCAGAATGGTCACTTCTAAATGTAAACAAAATTCAGTCACCATATTTTTGTAGTACTAATTTCTTATCACACTAAAAGTGATAACATTTATTCTGTAATTGTTTTGAAGAGATTGACGTGCTTCATAGTTCATTGTATTGACTCAATGAATATTGTGTATTAAACATTGTTAATTTCTAAATAGTTATAATGAAGTATTACACAGTGGCGTACGTACTGGAGGGGTGGTTCGGGTTCAAAAAAAAAAAAAAAATGTTTTATTATTGATGACGTGTAATATATTCGTAGTTTCATTATTACGCTTTGAACTTAAAATAGACAACTGCACAAATATTATGATAATTAAATAATTACATTGATAGGTGTTTGAAAAGTTATGTTAACTATACTGTTTTTATATTCCAATAGCTATTAATTTACTGTAATGTAAAAGTAAACTGTAAATTGGTAAAAAAGTTGTATAAAATAATATTTATTTATAGCAGTTATTTATCTTATTTATCTGTGCAACGAAAAAAAAAGGTAACGATTATTTTTGTTAAACTCCCTCCCCCCTCCAGAGCAAGATTGAATGTACGCCACTGGTGTTACATAAGAAAAATCCAAAGAGTATTAAATTTAATTAAAAATTAGTATACATTTTACGCTGTGATACTTTTAACAATTTCGTAATTTTATTAATTAAATGATTTTATTAATGGCATAGTTCTATCACAGAATAAATTCAAAATATTCCGTTTTACAATGTTACTAATGGCAAACTGGCATATATTTAATGAATTTAAATGATAAATTGAAATATAAAATTAAATTTCAATAATTTTATGTAAATGCTATAATACAATAGCAGTAGTTATAAAGTAAATTATCAGTCTATGTGTTAGGTGGTCACACTGTTGGGACTTCAAAGCAATGGCTGAATTATTTTTGAACTTCCTTATGTTCCCTATGTAAAATCTTATCAGTGACCATTCTGATTTCATTTATTTTGTGTGTGCACCATCGAGTTGGGGGCAGTTGTCCGAAAAATGAAAAGGACCGGAATTGAAAGACAGCGGCATAAAATATGTTGCCAACATAAAATTTCTAAAAATTATATTATAAAATTATTTTTTTATTTAAGAAGTTATACTGTTTCATTTGAATGTAATTATATTTTTTGATAATAATAACATAATTAGTTACATATAAAATAAACATAGGTATCAATTATATGAAATAACTATACATTTTTGAATATTTATTTTTTACTACATACTTAAAACTAAAAAATGTAATATTTTATACTATTTACATACTAGTACATAGAAAATTAAAAAAAAATGATGAATACATATATATTTTTCGAAAAGTTCATATACAATTAAATATTAAGCTAGATATTTATAAACATACATGATATATTACATAGATTTATAACATGGATATGCTTTTTAGATGAATATTAAGAAGAATTGCAAGAACAGAAAAGCATTACCCTTCTCTAATTACATTGGTAACTAAAATAATCCTAGTTAAAATTTTAACTCGAAAACAAATCCATGATTTAATGTTATACTTACATAATTATATGTTACCATAGTTGTTTAAAATTTGATCCATTTTTATTGAAAAATATGCCAACAAAAAAGTAAAAAAAGAATTAAAATTTTTGTTGAAAACAGTATAACCTATTAGTATTTTTTTCGCTTTGAAAATCGGGGGATATTGTATAACTTTTATCAATAGAAATTATATAATTGGATTTGGTAATTTTCGATTTAGTCAGTTGGTACTGCTTTTTAAAATTTCAGACCTTATCATTTTTCGGACAAGTGCGAATCACGCTGCACCATCGTGATCACGGTCTTAGAAGATATTTTCTAGACTTCTTTGCTTACTACAGTCCCGTATTTAGGAGGAGGCCAGGGTGGGCAATTACCCCCCTTGTAAAATTTTTGGGGATGGTGCATTTTTATGCATTTATTTTTTGTATTTAGCCAACCAACTTGGAATAATTATAATTGTATTAAATGTTTTTTTCCGTGTATTATTGATAGTTTATTATGGGGTTTTCTCTTAAATCTATTTTTATTCAATCGCTGAACGATTTTTAGGTTTAACTGATTACGATAATACGACATTATACAATACGCAGAAGGCAGAATACAGCCCGCATTAAAGTGTAGTTGTTAAACACTGGACTTGTATAAGACAACAAAATAATATTATGTTCTGTATGCCTATCAAATAACAACTAGTTATACTATTGCGTCAAACGAGTCCGTCTGTTATAATTCATTTATTTTAATTTCAAAAATACTGAAATAGGTATATGATTGTGATTTTTTTCATTTAATTAAGCTTTTATCTTGCAACATTACAGCTGTTAGTGATTATAACTAATAATTATAATTCAATGATTTGGATTGTTTAAAGGTATGGAAATAAGACCTTAACTTATAATTTACATTATGAAATTAATCAAATTGGTATGCCCAACTTTGATCATTTTTTTAAATTTTTTTTTGATTTCTTGATATTCTCGTTATGCCATTGATATTTATTTTGATTTTAATACCGATTTTCAGTACCGTGCCTACCATATTTAGCACCCGGTGCCAAAAACCATTTTTAAGAATAGGGATTTCATATAATTACTTATTTTGTATTTATTAAATTAATAAAATAAATAATCAACGACTAAAGAACAATATAAGTAATATAATTCAAACTGATTCTTTAACGCCATGTTTTCTCACCCTGGTCTACAACAAGTTACCCGCAAACTTCGCCTCTAGATTTAAATCTATAGTTCTCGTTATACCAGACAAATTATGGTTCAACGATCTTACTTTATCCTTCATAACCAAATTAAACTGATTACACACTGGCCATAATCGCTTACCTTCTTGCTTGCAAATTAAATCTTAATGATTCCCTTCCACACAATCAAAAATATATTTCTTATGCCAATCCTCACAACGATCGTAATATTGCGCCTATATCGGCTACCCAACTGTTGGCTAGCCCATTCAGGCACAGTACTATCTTTAATGTTAGCCAATACTGCACCAATGCTAGGGAACTACAAATAAATACTGGCACATTAGGGAGTAAATATGATATTTGAGATAAGGGAAGCTTGTATTTTACGCAGATATACCAACATTGGCATAATACTGGTGGGCGGTAGGCCACGTACAAAGTGTCAGCTGCAGTGGTGCAATTATCGGGAGTATTGGGTATTGTGTATACAATTCACAGAGACCCCCGGTTTTGGGGAGCCGCGAGATCTCTTCTGATATTACCTTTGTTGCTTACAATATTACTACTATAATCTGTAATATACACATATTATATTATTTGTTTCAATATAATAACAATAAATAATAGTGTAAGTTTGGACATTTTCACATCCTTATCATCAAGTTGCGCCACTGTTCCCTTCTTTGCATACTCCATTTAGAAGAAAAAAAATCTATATTCTATCTTATATTCTCTTTGATTGTCCTTCCTTACCTACTAAAAGTAATATCCTGATTAGTCTCGCCATAACCCTTTTAATATTTTCAGCATTCTAAATTTCAAAATCTGCTCTCGTTCTTATTATTTCCTTCATTAACGAGGTTGGGTTCAGCAGATTTATTTTATAAATATTTTTATTTAATAATTTTATTTATTTTTATTTATTTATTTTTAGGTAGAACAAAACCTTTAGATAATAAATTATCATTCTAAACCGATATAGTTTATTTAAAAATTAAATTTATTCTATTGCACAATAAATAATTGCCGATAAAAAATAATTAGGTACCTATGTTACTTCTGCGTTCATGAACTATAATGTGAACACTATCATAAACGGGTTCAAAATAAAATCGTACGACTCGATCAAGTCGATGTTCGTTTATGGTATTAATGTTATTAAATTAATTATATCAAGCAACAATAATAATGTAATATAAATGGTATATTATTGTTAATTTGTCATCTCGCCAATTTCGGGGCAAAAATAAATACCAATACTAAAAATAAACTAGCAACACCGCCGATCAAGACAATGTTAATGATGTCGACTACGTGACCATGGCGTTAAATGTGTTAAATATTTTGAATTAAATAATATGGTGAACTTTTAGTAATATTTGTTGCGAACCAGATGTTGAATTTGCAGAATGATTGTACGATTTTGATAGTAAAGACGTTATAAATTTATTATACTCATAATACAATAGTTTTACATAAAAAGTGTGCAATGCTTAGACGGATGGTACTAATGTTCACATCTACATGCGATAGAGGGCCTATAGCAATAAACTAATTAGTCATAACGGTGTGGTTGTGCACATTCGGATTGAGTCCGACGAATCTTCGGTGAGTGATAGTGTGCTTCTGTCCTGTGATTGAATCCAATTGCTAATTACTATTCTTGTCTTCGCGTCCCTCGGTATATATGTTTGGTATATATGGTTTTCTATGTCATCATTCCTTGGCATGGATCTGTCCCGGATATCATATAAATCCTGTGGTCCTCGATTTTATATTTTTATAATTAATAATTCATAATCTCCTGATTGTAACAAGTATTGACTATTTGTGAATACTCAAGTATTGTTTTTCCTTTTCGAATGAGATATTATTCTAGGATAATAGATTAAGAACTATGATATAATTAAATACAATAAATATTATTATATACAATACATAATTCATAAGTATTGTAGGTGCATATTATGATGCTTTAACTATAATCTAAAAATAAATTAATCAGCTGTTAGTTACAGAGATACATAAGAAGACGTATGAGGAATTTCGTTGAATTTGTGTATCAATATGTTGAAAATGCCGAAATAACATATAAGTTGTAATAACTGGTCTGGATAAAAACAAATAAAGGAATAAAATATAATGATAATATTTGTACAACAATGGCATGAAATATATACGAGTATTCTTTTGCGTTGTTAATTTAAGTTGAATTTTTTAATATATATATTGATTTGTGT